AATCTTTCTTCCTAATAAATTGAATATCTCAGGAATTTTGTCACAGTAACAGAAGTTGAGAGGTATGGAGGGAAGAGGATGGTAACATCCATGTGCCAGTCATTTCCCTCCATTCCTAATGTTCTGCTGGAGTTGATAGGCAGGCTGTAAGTGAACACACAAAGATGCCCGTCAGCTTCCTGAAAAGCTACAGCTAACAACCCTACATCCCATCACTCAGCCTGCCCAGGCACATAGCATCAAACCAAAGCCGCTTGCCTGCATTTTCAGCTGGGTTACCACCCCTGACACTTTCTTCTAGAATATTCTGTAAATGAATTTTCCTTAATTTTACCAAGAAGAAAAACTGAGGCACGGAGATCAACAAAACTGTGCCAATGAGCACAAACCTTATTTGAAAATTAAAGCAAGTATTTCCTACTGGCCTACTAACTCATACCTAACTGAAAGATTAAAATTTTTCAGGTAAGTAAAAATGCAAGCGCAAACAAAGTCTACCTTTTATTGAAAAGTGATTTTTGTGTGGGCATCAGCATCAAATTAGAATCAAACAATTTCACTTTCTCCTACATAAAAAGATTAATATTTGTGCTGCATCAAATATCAATATGAAGTTTTCTTACATTTATAAAGCTTACTTTGGACTTATTTGTCCTGTATTTTAAGCCAAAGAGTTAGTACATATTGTTTTCAAGTTGCTTTAGTGTCTGATTTTGACTGGTGTGTGCACTTTAACTCATAAAATGTAGATAATCTTTCTCTTAGTGTAGTTGATTCCATTTTTCTCCAGTTGCATGAAAATCACCCATGCTGAGCACATTCATTTGATGCATTAATGTGTGTGTGCTGTCCTATTCAGAGTGATCAGGTTTAAACAGTGCTCTCATAGGTTTACATAATTGTGCATTTAATGCGTTTTAAAGGCATTCCAGCCTTTTTATTCCCCAAAGATTAGACCTCAAGCGCCATCTTGTGTTTAAAGGAAGTTAGCACCAGAAAGAAAAAAAGAGATGAAGGAAAAAACAGAAACAAGGAGGAAAAATCCCTTTTTAAAAATGGGTTGTACCAGGCATGGTGGTGCACACCTGCAATACCAGTACTCAGGAGATGGAGGCAGAAAGATCAGGAATTCGAGGCCAGCATCAGCTTCTTAGAGAGTTCAAGGCCAGCCTGGGCTACGTGAGATTCTGTCTCAAACAACCAAGTGGTAGAACACTTGCTTAGCATTTTTGAGGTAGAGGGTTTGATCTCTGGTACCACAAAAAGAAAGAAACAAAAAGATCATGATAAACAATTATATTTCTTCCAGGTGAGTGCTTGGATGCTTTTAGAGAAAGGGAACTTGGTACTTCAAGAATCGTTCACGTGATTCTAATCCTCCTCCCGTCTAGTTTACTTCTGACACTTGCTAGTTCAACCATTTCTAGTTCTTTCCATTTGTCTGCAAAACTGTCAGAAAATTAGAACTCATATCCTCTCTATAAAGATATGCAGACAAGGTTAAAAAGTAAAGCTACAGTTCTCTAAGGTTACACATTTCCTAATAGCTGAAGTTCAAACCTTGGCCTGTCAAAGCCATGGCCAGGCACCAGGAAAGAAACTGAGGACCCCGGGAAGACGGCTACAGATGGGGAGAAGGTGCAATTCAAAGGCAGCAGAACAGGATTGTGGCCTTTCCTGGTGTGTGGCATTTTGCCCTTTCTGTCTCAGAAGAGGGATGCCACCGTGTCCTCTGTTCCATGTTCACCTTTTGAGAATAAATATATCCAGTTGCTTAAACTTCTTTTAATGAATTCACTAATTTTTTTCTTTTTTGTTCCTCTTATGGAGAAAATCGATTTTGCCAATTTCTCTCAGAATATAGCTCCAAAAGTTCGGTGTGGATTTGTGGTTATGTCACAGGATTTGGTGGCCCCTCTTATCAACACCATAGTTTGAGATTACTGCCCTCTCTCAGCTCTTGGGGAAGAGTTTTTCTGAATCAAAAATGTCTTGTGGCTCTTCTGACTGATTCTAAGAAAACTTCCCCCTTGACTCTGCTCCCACAGTCTGAACAGCTCCCCCATTTGCTCTCTCCCTTCCATCCTCTTCCTCTCACTCTCTTCCGCCCTCTTTTTCTCCTTACTTTATTCCCTCCCACTCCTTGAGGTGAGAGGAGGGATGGCATATTAAATCTTATTTTAGTAGAAGAGAGGAATGAGAAGAAGGCAAGAAACTCCATTAAAACATGCTACCAAAAGTTAGGTTGTTAATGGAAGGACAAAATGATTTCATGACTCTTGTTATGTGCATAAATCTACTTTTCAAGAACTTGCTGCAGTTTACAGTGCCATCAAAATTATGTAAGATTTTAAAATGAATGAGCATTAAAGGGCTTTTGTTTTACTTTTTAACTGAATAATAATGGCGTTTTACTTCATAGTAATTTAATTTGCATTTCCTTAGTAACACTAAACACTCTTCTGTTTCTAATTTATGGATTGTTTGATGGGTGGTTTGTTCGGAGAACTGATCTTATGTAGCACAGGATGTCCTGGAACTCACTAGTTCCGTCTGGGCTTGTACTGTGGTTTCTCCTGCCCTTGCTTCCCCGGTCGGTGCTGGATCTACAGGTATGCACCCCCACACCTGGCTCATCCATTATATAAAGGGGAAATGGAGGCTAACAATAAAAGCAGTGAGTGTACAAGCCTGACCACCACCGTTCCATCCCTGGAACCCACGTAAAAAGCCTGGTGCGGTGGCACATGTCTGTAACCTCAGCACACCTGTAATGAGATAGGAGGCAGAGAAAGAATTGCTCAAAAGTTCACAGACTAGCTAGCCTGGAGTAGGCAGGACAGCAGCAGAAGCAAGAGACATCCTGCCTTGAGAAGGTCAGAAGCATGTCCCAAAAATTGCCTCTGTCCTCTGACCTCCACATTTGCTCTGTGCTGTGTGCACGCCCACACTCATACATGTCCCCACCCCACCCCCACACGTGCACACACACACACACACACGTGCACATACACACACACACAGATTAAATAATTTCAAAAGATAAATGCATCAGTTGTTCATGACTAAAGAGACAGTTGATGGCTAGGCGTGGTAGCACACGCCTATAATCCCAGCACTTGAGAAGTATGGGCAAGAGGATCTGGAGGTCAAGGTCATTCTCAGTTACCCAGAGAGTTCAAGGCTAACCTGGGTTGCAAAAGACGAGAGAGAGAGAGAGAGAGAGAGAGAGAGAGAGAGAGAGAGACAGAGACAGAGAGACAGAGACAGAGAGAGACAGAGAGAGAGAGACAGAGAGAGAGAGAGAGAGAGAGAGAGAGAGAGAGAGAGAGAGAGAGAGAGAGAGAGAGAGAGAGAGAGAGAGAGAGACAGAGAGACAGAGACAGAGACAGAGACAGAGAGAGACAGAGAGAGGAGGAGAGGAGGAGACAGGCTGACAGAGGGAAAAGAGATGAACGCACCATCCTCTCTACCAGCTTGTTTACCAGAAGTCATGAATGTGTGTTAGAACTTTTCCTTGGTGTAAGCTAGAGCCCCTCTCCCCCATTTATACCCACCCCTCACCAAATCACAGACTATGATCTTGTTTCCAAAAGTCATTTCTGCAGTTGTAATTAATTAAGATTAAGCTATACTGAACTGAGGTGTGTTCTATATCCAAGACTTTGGTCTCTTCAGAATACACACGTAAAATCCCAGCCCTCAGGAGGCTGAGGCAGGAATAACAAGTTTGAGGCCTGCCCGGATGACACAGTAAGACCTTGCTCAAAAGAAACAAAAACAACAAAACAGTGGAGAGAGAAAAGACAGAGATATACACAGGGGAAGCAGCTCTGTGACATCGTGCAGGAGAAGGTTGGAATGATGCAGCTCTAAGCCAAAATCACCAAGAGTTGCTGGGAGCCAGTAGGTGGGAAGAGACAAGAAAGGATTTTAGGATTCCTGCCTAGAACCTTCAGAGGAGACAGAGGCCCTGCTGCCAGCCTGATTCTAAATGTCCAACCTCTAGTACTGTCTGCTGCCGTGGTAGTCTTTTTATCTACAGTTCAGTTACCTACCTAAAGTCAACCACAGTCTAAAGATACTAAGTAGAAAAATTCTAGACATAATTCATAGGTCTTTAAATGCATGCTGCTGTGAGTAGGTGGTGGAATCTGGTACCCCGACTCCCACCCCCACCTTTGCACCCAGGGTGTGTATTCCGTCCAGCACTGCAATGCTACCTGCCTACCTGCCACTCAGTATCTATCTTGGTTATCAGATCCACCTTGACAACATTTCAGGAAACTCCATTTTCCTTAACAATGACCCCAAAGCACAAAGGCAATGATGTGGTAATTTTGACATGCCAAAGTACCATCAGCTGCTTCCTGTAAGTGAAAATTCTCAACTTAATTGAGAAAGAAAAATTAGGCTGAAATTGCTAAGATCAAATATTCTATTTGTGAAATTGTGAAGACAGTAAAAGAAATCTGTCCTGTGTTGTTGCACCTCACACTGCAGACACCAGAGCAACAATAACAGGTGCTTAGTTAAGACAGAAGAGGCATTAAATGCATGCATGTATGTACCAGAGGAACGCTGTACACATAGCGCCTGGCATTCTCTGTGATTCCAGGCATCCACTGGGCATCCTGGACCTATGAAACACAAGTAATGGAGACTCCATTTTAAGTCACCAAGTTTGTGATGGTTTTCTCATAATGAACCTTGTTGTGCAACATGCTTTTACTCTTACAACACGACTGTGTTTACAATATCAATCTTCACCACATTTGGTTTTTCTCACTACTATTCTTTTGGAAAGCACGGAGTACTAAAATGATTTCACTTTCTGTCAGTCAACGCCAAGAATGATGCCTTGTTCTAAACCCATTGTTCCAAGTCTGTGCTCTGCCTTTCTGTTTCATTCAACTTGCTTGTTTTACCTTCCTCCAATGTAATGTACACATCTCACCATTTATCTGAGACTTTAGATAGCTTGTTTTTCCTCTTTGCAGGTTCGGGGTCGCCAAGTGTCGGTTTACAAGAGGAAACAGATTGCCTCATCCAGGCATTCATTTCGGCGAAAGGACATTTACCTGCCCATCTCCAAGTAAGTTGAATTCAGCTTATTTTAGATCTAAGCTATTATTCCTAATAATAAATTTAAGCTTTTGTTCAGTTCCAGTAAGTTTGAGTATGTGAGGCCTAGTTTGGTGTTCTTTTTCAAACTTGCTTCAACGCTTTCGAAAAAACTAAGTTCGATAAATCAATTACCTGGGAATTAATGATTTCTAAATTGGAATTTTTAGTACTTTCAAGCTTACAGCACTTTTTAATAATTAATATACAATTTGAAAATTTAAGGCTCAGTTTCAAAATGTAAAAAAGTAGCTAAAACACTTTAATGCTTGAAAACTGACTCCTCACATTCATTCTAGATTCAGAGATACAGGTAATATGGGTGAAAGGCAAAGAGTAGTGAAGTTATGGGTTTGTGTTTTTCAATGAAACCCTGTGAGTGGTTGGGATAGATGGAAGACAGGTCAGGGGAGGTAAGAGAGAGCTGGTGGCCTATAACAGAAGTCAGCTAGTATGGGGGAGGGAACAGCATAGCATTTAGAGTCAAAGGACTTGGGTTTAGACCCCAGCTCTGTGTGCTATGGGAAAGTCTCCCAACTTCTGGGCTTCCGTTCCTTCATTTTCAGCTTGGTTGTGTCCCAGAAGAGGCTCTGTTATCACTACTTTCTAACAACTGCCCCAGTTCATAGGATTCTTGTGACTAAATGACTCCATGTGTGTAAAAATTCTTTGTAAACTGTAAAACATGAAGAAGCATTAGTTGCTGTTTCCCTTGATGCATGTTGGTTCAAACACCTCAGTAGATAAATGCCACGCACAGCACTAACTTTCACTCAGTGGTTCTCCACAGATCCCACACCAGCCCCACGGCTTCTACCCTTCCCACTGTCCTGATTTTCCCCTACCCCAGCAGCACCTCCTCTCCTCCCGCTCTCAGGCACATTCAGAGTTCCTCCTCTAAGTGCCTACCTCCCCTGCTTCTTGGCTACCTGTAGACTCAGGGTACTTGTAAGGACCTGAAGGATGCCATTCCCTCCGTCCTCTTCTGTTGCTTCCTTGATGTGTCTACCCTTTGCTTCAGTCTCTGTCTCCCAGCAGTGCTACCATTTTCGACCTGTGGATGTGGCCATTTGGTGAAGCTGTCAAGTATGGTAGTGTCTGTCCATGCTTTGCCAGACTGGTCTCCACAGCTCAGATGTGCTAATGTCTTCACCAGATCTAAAATCCCTTCATTATTTTCCATTTCATTTTAGATAAAATTCTTTGATATGGAAGGCCTTTGATTTTCCCACATCTATCTGTCTAAATTAACATCTCTTACCTAGTGGTCACAGTTATTTATTCTCTGTGTATTTTAATGTTTTTGAAAAGCATGCTATTTCTTCATACCTGACTCCAAACACTCTTTCTTTCTCTACTTTCTAGTACCTAGGCATCTTTACCAATTCAATTCAGGTATAGGATGAGCATCCTTAATCAGAAAACCTGAAACCAGAAACATTCCAAAATCCAAACCTTTTTGAGTGTCAATATATGTTGTTCCATGCATAAAATTATTTAAAATGTTGTATGCAATTGCTTTCAAGATATAAATTATATGTGAAACAAATTTTATGTTTAGGCCTGGGCCGTGCCAAGATATATCATTATACAGAGACAGATATTCCAAAACCCAGAGCACTTTTGGTTTTCTATATTTTGGTTAAGGCATACTCGACCAATTTTAGCTTCTCTAGAGAACTTTCTGTGGGGTTTTCATAGGAGTTCTGCACAGCCATTACATGCTCTGTTTTCTATTGCTATGTAACAAATTACAACAGCACACACTGTCTCACAGTTCCTATGCGCCTGGAATTCTGGCACATTTTAACTTGATCCTCTGCTTAGGGTCTCATAAGGCTTGTGATCCAAGTGTCAGCTGATCTATATTCTCACTGGAGGCTGGAGTGGGGAAGGCTCTAACTTCAAGCTCAGTAAGGTTGCTGGCAGAATGCTTTTTCCTCTGTCTTTTGGATCGAGATCCCTACTTCTTCCTGGATATATACTGGGGCCAACTTTCAGCCCTAGAGGCTGACCACAGCTCTTTGCCATGTTGACTTTCCTAAACATGCCATTAAAGAGAGTCTTCAGAGCAAGTTGGCCAGCAAGACGCCACCTATGTCATGAAATATAAGCATGGTGGTGAGATCACCTTTGGTTCATTGGTTCAAAGTGAGTCAGGGACCCAAGCACATTCACAGGGAGGGGCTCACACAAAGACGAGAACACTGAATGCAGAACCTGGCGGGGGGTGGGCACAAGTTGTGTCATTTATCCTTTGGTATATAGTGGGCTCCTTGAGAGAAAAGGCAGCTAACCTTTCTATCTACCCAGCACAGTGCTTGCCACATATTGTAGCTATTCAATGCCCGTGAGTCAGAGTGAATGAATGACAGGATGAAGTAGAGTTGTAATGCTTTAGCAACCATACGATTTTATCAAAAGGAGATGAATCAGTAAGTGTGCAAAGGAGAGGTTAAGTTAGAAGGGAAAACATGTTAAGTGAATTCCAGAAACCAATTTGATCGCCAGTACTGTACCTTGTCCTCACTGAAAATGAAATAGACTGTTCTTTGTATCCATGCTGGAAGGGACTGTATCTAAGACATTGTGGTAAGTTTGATTATCTTTCAGAAATATTCATTCCTGCTCCACCACCATGAGTATCACGTGCTTCCCTGACCTTCCACTTTAAGTTTGGCCCTGGGACTTGCTTTGATCAATAGAATAGAGAGTGTGAGGAGTGTCCAGGGTTCAGAACCAGTTTGCATGATGCAGCTGCTCCTTCTCATTCCTGCAACAGTCACAGAAGCATGTGTAGGCTAGCTTGCTGGCCACAGAGAAAGATGTGAGGCATGGAGCTGAGCCTCTCCCACCAAGTTTGCCAGACATTCCCCACCCCGAAACAGTCAATTCCCAACTAAATTGCAGTTGTGCAACCTAAACTCACACCTACCCCTGTAGGCTGCTGACATAGGATTTTTTATTGCATACTAACAGTGAGCTTGCTAGGGTATCCAAAAGAATGTGTGATTCAAAGAAATTATGTATCTTTTGCAGAAGAGTTAGCATGTCATAGGTCACCAATGAGAAAAACTCACCTGAGATTTTGGAAATGGGGGGAAGAAAAGGCCATTATCCTTGGGACACTGTTTATCAGGCTTCCTTGGACATGGCTATTCTGTTTATCTCCACAAAGACCCACTTCCGTGAACTACCCTCCTTTGTTCCTCTTTGGGCAGCTGGATGAATGCATTTCGTTCTCTGACTCCCCCCTCATGTCCGTGAGCCAGGCTAAATGAAGCACTCTTCCTGTTCTCTGACTGTATCCTTCAGACCTTCCTCCTTTGGATTCTCTTCCATATGAATAACTCTGAATTCCTACTTGTGCTACTTGTAATGACTGTTTTCCTAATGACCCAGATAGATACCTGGAATTCATGGAAACTACCTCTCACCAAATAGGCAGAACCTACCAATTATCAGTTTTTTACTGAAATTAAAATGCAAATCACAAGATGCAGGCTTTCCAGAAATCCACCCTGAAAAAATATATAAAGCAATTAGAATGTATTCCTTAATAACTTGTTTTAGTAACACACCAGCCAAACCCATATCTTTATTACTGTGCTTTTGAAGTGGCATTTCCTAAAACACAAGTGTAAGCCAATGCATATAAGTATAGGTCAACCTGGTGAATTAATAAAGAAGGAAAAGTTGAGAAAAATTGAGAACGACAAAGGTCATTGTAAGATGTGCAACTTAGAAGGTTTAAAAGGGTGTGGGGGTGGAGAGACAGCTAAGAGTTGGTGTTTACTGCTCTTGCAGACTGGAGTCTTGTTCCCAGGACCCACAATAGGCAGCTCACAATCACTTGTAACTCCAGTGTCAGGGGACTGACATCTTTTTATAGTCTCCATGGACATGGGCACACATGTGCACACACACACGCACACACAGATACTCAGAGAGACATAAATAAAAATAAAATAAATATCTAAAAACACACACGCACACACAGATACTCAGAGAGACATAAATAAAAATAAAATAAATCTCTAAAAAAAAGAAAGAAAGAAAGAAAGAAAGAGAAAGAGAAGGAAGGAGTTCCAAGCCATCCTGGGCCACAAAGTGAGATTCTGTCAAAAAGAAAGAAAGAAAGAAAGAGAAAGAAAGGAAGGAAGGAAGGAAGAAAGAAAGAAAGAAAGAAAGAAAGAAAGAAAGAAAGAAAGAAAGAAAGAAAGGAAGAAAGAAAGGAAGAAAGAAAGAAAAGGCTGGAGAAGTAGCTCCGTGGTTAAGAGCTCTTACTGCTCTTCCAGAGGACCCATGTTCGGTTCCCAGTATCCATGTCTCCTAACTGCAGTTCCAGGCGATCTGACACCTTCATCTTGACTTCTTGAGCACCTGCACTCACATAGCATAGATCACACAGCCATACACATATACACGTAAACAATGAAAAGAAACAATGAAGCTTATATGTCATCTCTCAGGTAATTGTCAGTATTGGGCTACCCATAGGAGAACACCGCTCGTTTTTCCTACTAAATCCATTAAATTTCTGTTTTTTGTATCTCCTACTACAGTGGACGCTTCTTTTGAGTCTGAAATAGAAACTGACGCAGGGATTTGTGAAGCAATGCAAGAGTGGAAGAATGAACACTCACCAGAAACCATCGGCTCCGATGAATCTTGGGAAAATGAAGTGGACAACCTGGTTGCATGGACCAATGCTCTTGACATAGATTCTCTAGACAATCAGGACTAACCGCCCAGATTTTAAAAACACACAACTGCATGAAACAACTTTGAATGGCTTTCAAAGCTTGGGTTCTGTTCTGTTTTGTTTTGTTTCCCAATTGACCTCAATTTCTTTCTGTAAGCACAAAAATACAATTATAAGTCAGCGAGTATGTTGCTTTGGAGTTTTCAAGCTCTAATCCTGTTTGGAATTAAGTTAGTCAAATTAGGGTGCTCACTGCTGCCTTCGGTCAATGCTGGAACACCTACTCCCACAGTGGGTAGGCTATGGGAGTTAAGTTCTTACTAGCAACCATTGGAAAAAGACTGGAGGAGGAAGAAAGGACTAGAAGTTTCAGAGGTTGTATGTAGTCCAAGCAAAGGGACCTATGAGTTTACCCACACCTGCCTGGTGTTTTTGTCTCTTGTATTCAAGAGAGGAGACTCACCACCCGCTATTCTCTTTTCTCTTTGACTTTGACCAACCATCTCATTACATTCTTGCAATTATTTTTGTTCTCTTTTTACTGAGCTTGTACTGGCTCAGCTTGGAACCGCTGTGACACCTCTACCCACAGCCAGCTGTTCCTCTTCCCTCAGCACACTCCCTCAGCCCGCTTTATCGGGCAGATGTCACTGCTCTCTTTATTCCTTCAGGTAACATTTATACCCAGTGCAAAGCAGAGTCTGTCTCCTGCTTATACTCCAAAACCGTGCTAGGATTGCCAAAGATTTCCACATTGTGTAAACACAAAAAATGCTTACAGGGCCTCTCTGCTATACCTTTTAAAACACTTTATTGCCATGCCTTCAGAGAAACTTATATGGGAGCCTGTCTACCGACTTATATCCACACGTGCATGTAAACCTGACTCTGGATGTAGCTGACTCTCCTTTATTTCTAAAGAAGCTGACTCTAGCTTCCTTGAAAAAGAAAAACACTCCACCACATGGCTTCTAATGCTGTAGCACTCCCCTGATTCACTAAATGCCCCCAAGTTGGCCTGGGATACTTCAGAAAATAAGGTCTTAACTGATTGTAGTGCCTGACACCTTTGCTGCCCGCCTGCTCTTCGGCTCAACTTCAACCGGTTCCACAAAATTCTGACAGCTGTCCCAGGTTTCCTCCTGTTACAAATGCCAAGTCAAGACCCACCCTCTGACTTGGAAACAATTAAAAGGGTTCTTTCACACCCAGTGAGAACTGTTATGAAGGGCCCACCCCACACCTCAGAGAAAAGTGTAGGACATAGGATAGGTGATGCTATCGCCACAGAAACAGCCTCTGAGATGTGTCTCTGGTGGCATGCTAGGAGGACAAGCATGCAGAAATTAAACGCAAGAGGAGCACGAGAGTCAACCAAACGTGGTTTTGTCCTCAGGTGCCATATATGGTGTTTTATCCTTCCTACTTGATTTCTTTTCAGGACAAGGGGGACACACCTGCTTTCTTCTGCTGCATTTGCGAGACCTTGGAGTGGAGGTCAGGGGGCAGGGGAAGGTGGGAGGAACACAGTCTTTGGAATAGACTTATTAGTCAGTGTGAAAGAGTAGTTTAGCACCTTCCTTCTGTCTCCAGATACTACTACTGAGTCTCCTATAGAGATCTCCCTTCTACTGACCCTCAGAAGAATATTCTTTTGGGATCCATTCCCGAGCCCTTCTCTACATATTTTTCATGTACAATCTTGCCACTGTCAAAGGATTACTACCCACCCAGGTTCTTATTTTCCGATGTTTTTTTATTTCTTTAAAAGGCATCTTGACTTCAGGGTACCACCCTCATCTGAAACACAACGTGCTCACATCTGTAATACAAGGCGCCTCAATGGAAACTCATTTTACCCTTTTCTTCCCACTCTGACTAGACCTCCTCCTGCCTCTGGTTCCTTCCTTCAGTTAATGGGACAATCTTAAGATAAAAGCTGGAGGTTCACTTCCTCACATCACCTTTGTCTAGGTAATCACCAGGACTTGCAGTAGTCTCCTTTAGATGTGGTAAACCTATGCCCTTCCCTGATGTTTCATCACCTTCTATCATGAAGCTTTTTAAAACACTAAATGACATTATACTTTTCCTTGCTGACAATGTCCAGATCACAGTGCCCTTCATGTGTCAGCCCTTACCCTCCCCACCTGTGATGGCTAATCCTGGGTGTCAACTTGACTGGATCTGGGATTAACTGAAATGAAAGAGATCTTCTTGATCTGATGGCAGCCAGTATAAAAGGCCAAGGCAGAGGAGAACACCAGGCTTCTTGCTGCTTGCCTTCACTCTCGCTGGTGAGCTCATCTTGCTGCTGTAGACTGAAGACTAGCTGATCTTTTGGAATCTGTCAGACCTTCATCACTACTGAGACATCCAGCCTCATGCACTGAGCAACTATGAATTCTCAGCCTCTCCAGTGTGGTGCAGTCATTGTTGGACTGCTCGGATTCTATCCTGTGAGCTAAGCTGATAAATCTGTATACATATATATTCATTCTACCGGTTCTGTTTCTTTGGAGAACCTTGACTAATATACCACCACAATGTTTCACCATTGTATTGTAGTATCTTTGGATTGCTATAACAAAATGCCACAACCAATAGCTTAGAGACAAGAGAAATTTGGTATAGTTCTAGAGATGGACAAGTTTTGAATTGCTGAGCTGTATTTCAATGTACCAGAATTTATCCACGCATCCATTGATGGACGTATGAGTTGATTCTACTTTAATGATGCATAGTCAACAAGAAAATAGAGACCTTGGTCTACCACCTTGAAAAATTCTGTCAGCAACCATGTGAGCTTGCAAAAGGCTTGTGCTCCAGACAGGAACACAACTTGGCCAACATTCTGACTTCAACTCTGTGCAAGCCTGAGCCCCACATCATGCCATGCCCAGAGCACTTATCTGAGGAAACAGCAAGATATACACTGCCTCTGGTTTGAGTTCCCACATTTGTGACAGTTCATTATATTGCAATAGAAAATTAATGTAGTGCATGCAAATGCTTAGAAGAAATCTTTGTGTGGGCCTGTTTTACAATCTGATGAGTAAATATTGAAAACAGAAATATGTTTGAACTTTTAAGGAATGGACAAACTATTTTCCAAAGTCATTCTATAGTGAAAACAGTTCTAGCACCTCTATGTTCTGATCAGCTCTTGATACAGTTGGTCTTTTAAATGTGAGCCTTTGTAGAATGAATACATGGCCCCAATTTGCTTTTCCCTGGAGACTATCACTTTTTCACGTACCCATTTTGCCATACTTTTATCTCCGAACACTCTGGGACCCTTGTTTTCATGTTATGTTCTGAGAATTATATATTCTGCCTGTCCATTTCTATCAGATAGTGGTGACCCGTGGACATGCAACTTGAAAACCAGTAGACTGTCTTTGTCTTTTCAGTGTCTTTGTAATGTCTTTTAAAGAAGAGAAAAAAAATTTTTTTTGGTCTTTTTGAGACAGGGTCTCCCTGTAGCTCCATCTGGCCTGAAACTCACTATGTGGACCAGGCTGGCCTCAAACTCACAAAGAGCTGCCTGCCTCTGACTCTCGAGGGCTGACATTAAAAGCATACACCACCACGCCCCACTCAAGAATACAAGTTTTAAATTTGATAAAGAACCAATTATGTTTTTCTCTTAGAAATTGTGCTCTGGGTATTGAATGTGACAAATGCTTGTTTAATCCGGTCCACAAGACTCGCCTTTGTTTCTTGTAGAAATTTCCCAATTTTAGATTTTATAATACTATTATCTATTCTAGCTATCTATTACAAGTTTGTAGACAGTTTATAGACTGTTATCTAACATTATAGACTGTTATCTAACGTTCTAGACTGTTGTGTTACTAGTTGTCTATTATTAGTATATGATCACAAGGAATGGATCAAAACTTGTGGGGGTATTGTTTCTCTCCCCCATCTCCTTCCTTCTGAAATATGGGTATCTGGTGGTTGCAGCAGCATTTCTCCTTTCGTCGCCAGATTTCCCTATCCCAAGGCTGGTGTGGTCTATTTCCAGACTCCCCTTGATGTCCCACCATCTATCTTTATGCCAATATTGTTACCATGATTACTATCGCTCTACCATGGAACTTAGGCTAATGTTAGCCCTCTGACTTTGCTCCTCAAAGTTGTTCTATTTATTCTAGGTCCTTCACATTTCCATGTAAATTGCTATCAGCCCAGGATGGCCTACAAAAAATCATCTTGAGAGTTTCAATTTGGAGTACATTGACTCTGAGGGTCAGTCTGTGGGAGATTGACAGCTGAACCTATGTACGGAGTCTTCCTGTACTTAGACTCTCCATTTTGGGGGTAGTCTTCTAAAGTATCTTTTAAAAATACATTGTAGTTTTCTGTTGTTCACTAGTTGTATATCTTTTGTCAGATATGTCTTATTTATGAATTTTTTGGTTCTGCTCTAAGTAGCATTATTTTTATTTTTTAATATTTTATTATTTTTATTTTTAGTGTATATGAGTGTATTGCCTGCATGTGTGTAAATGCACTTGTGTTGTGCAATCCCTGGGGAGGTCAGAAGAGGGCACTGGATCTGCTGGAACTGGTGGTTGTTCGCTGCCATGTGGGTGCTGGGAACTGAACCTGGGTCCTCTGCCAGAGCAGTCAGTGCTCTTAACCACTGAGCCATCCCTCCTGCCCTGAAGTAGTATTATTTTTAAATTTTCAATTTTCCCTGGCTGGTATAGAGATACAACTTTCAATATGTGTCTTAGTGTAATATTTTAAATGAAAGAATAGTAATTGCAAAAATCTATAATTTTAAAATCTTGCTTTAGAATTAGTCTTATCTTTGCTCTAACTCTCAGTTTACATTAACGAGTGATATAAACACAGCAATTCCTATTAGCTGTATCCTCAAAGCATGGAATCCAGCCAATCTCTTATCAAAATTCTAATCCAAACTACTATCTTGGTGATACTGAAGAGTTTCAAGTTTGGGGTTCAAGGAGGATACTGAGATGGATTGACCTTTTGGGTAAGATACTTATTAGGAGACATTAATACCACAGACAGCATGGTAGGGGCACTGAAGAGAGTTCAGCACCATAGTGTGGTCCCTTCTTACAGGCTCAGAGGAAGGGAGAGGTTTTATGCCATGTCCTTGGTGAGTAGTCCACAGCACAGGCCTGCAGTCCAGAGCAGTAT